CTACTGAATTAAAAAACCTTTCTTTTCTTTCTCTAGAGGGAAATCCATTTGTCCAAGCAATACTTTAACTTCTGTGCTAGATAAAGAAATGCAGAGCAGGCCTCCACCTCCTGTTCCTCATTACAAACAAACAGATAAGTAAGGAATTTGTTTTTAAAACAGCATTCTTCAGTTTTATGCTGAGTTACCTGAGGAGAGTGTTCCTGAGCTTCAACTTTACACTCTGTTTCTTTGTTTTCCCAACCCGCACGCAGCTTTGGAGCTTGCAGCCTGCGCTAAGATTTTTCTTTCCACTGAAGTAAATCTGAAACAAAATGCTAAGAAAATCCAGGATTGACTGTGTGGTATAGGAGTAATAAAATAACAAATATTGTGGACTTTTTAAAATAAAGATTAGTTGGGAAGAGATGGCTGGTTTGGGGGGGGTTGGGGACGTTTTTTACCCTTAACTGTTCTGTGTAAAAGAGTAATGTCTTCCTGGCCTAAAATGATTTATTTGAACACATGTGGTAAATATATTTTTTTCTTGTGTAGATATCGCTACACAGCTGGCTACATGTGAACTACCGTTTTTCTCAGATAGTGAAAACTACTGAAGATAGGCTATATAAGGCTTCTTGGTGAAGAGTCTAATAGAAGAGTCTTTACTTTGTATGACCTGCCGGCTTCAGGAACCTGTAGTCATCTCATAGTTATGAATTTTTTAATGGATGGCTTGTTCTTTGTTCAGGTTTACCTTTCAGAACTTTTTTCTCCCCCCGCCTCCCACCCCCAAGTTAGTTCCAGATTAGCATTTGAAATCATGTTGGTACTGTGAAGTACCATTTGCAGAAAGGGACAACTTAATTTTGCAGTAGCTATTGCAGTAGTTATTGGGTGTTTAAGGTGCTGCTGGAATACAAAGTAGGCTGTTCTGAGAAAACTTAACTTGTTTCAGAACTAAGAAAAACACATCTCTAAGATGACTGTAACTCAATGTGAATTTTAAAAAGGTTGTTACTCTTTATTTCCGCTTACTTTTGTGGGATTCCTGTCCTCGGTGACCCTAATGAAAGGGGGCTCTTTGGCAAAATTAAATTAAAAAAGGGACTTAGCCAGCCATTTATTTTTAATTACTAGAAGTGAAATTTCTTTAGAAGTGCTTAATTGTACACAATCTTCTGGAAGATCTCTTACTGTCTTACGGAAAAAATCTTTACAGCATTTAGATTTGGTATTATCCTATATTTTTTGTTACTCTTCCTTTTAAAAGAGAGCAGATTTGATCATCCACTCACTTCAGCAGTATTTCTCTTGCCCTTTCTTATAAAAAGGCATGTTGAACATGTAGTCTTCACTACAGTATTGGTTTTGTAATAAATATTACCAGTAAATGGTATTTTCTGGTAAAACTCCAAAACAATCAATTCAGCCACACATTGATGTACATTAATAGAATCATAGAATCGTATAAAGTATGTTTTTTCCAAAGATCAGTTAACAAAGGCTTTCTGGAGCATTAAGGTACTTCCATGAAAACGTAATTTAGAAATGCATGTCATTTACCAATGCAGTGTGCATGTGCATACTGAGACCTTATGGGAGTTTGTGATTTCAGTTTTCTTTGTATCTTGTTTTTCATGCAGGAGAGTAACATCTAGTATTCTTACAATTTCAGGAGCAGTGGAAACAGTGGTTTATCCAAACCATTAAAAGAAGAGCCTGTAATTGACTACTTTGATGTCCAGGACTGAAGCGATTGATGTAGAATTATGATACAGAAGCTTAGCGGTGAAGATACTAAGTTACTGTGTGAGGCGCTTTTTGGTTATCATCTGTCAAAGGATCAGTTGTTCAACATATTCACGATTTAACATCTAAAGTTAGCTTGATTTGATGCTCTAAGAAGTTATGTACTTTTACAGTTTACATAACTGCATAATACCTAACAGTAGTATAGCTTTTCAAACCTGGGTTTGGTGCAATTTTTTTATCTAATGTGCTGTCAGAATGATGTAGCCTTCCGTTGATGCCTTTGAAGTAAGAGAACTGCTAATCAAATATATTTTTGGAGGTAGTAAGTGCGACGATAAATCTCAAAGATTTATTTTGACATATATCTCACACACTTAAAATGGACCAGAAATCATCTGTGTTAAAAACACTGATGGGAATATTCTTAGTATTTTCATAGTTTATTAATTCACTTCCGTGTTAATGTGGTAAACTTGGGAATTTGAGTTACTCCTCTACATGGAAGGAAATACAAAACTTAGTCTACTTAAAATGAATAATGAATAATAATAATGAATGCCCATTAAGAGCACAGACTTCCTTTGGCACCTGAAGAACCAGGATCTGGGGAAGGTGGGGAATTAAGACTTACTTTGCTTTATCTCAAATCTGATGTGTGAAGAAGAAAAGAAAAAAAATCAAAACCCCTCC